TTTTACTACAAATACTGCATAAAATTTCACTCATTACGAATACGTGGGCTGTTTTCACTAAACAAGTGTTAGATTTATTACAAATAATATAATAATGATTTTTAAATCTAGAAACAGTTAAGTTGTTGAAACTATATGTTTATAGAATTTGTTTATAAGTCATACAAGTCTTGAAGAGAGAATGTAAATATATTATAACATGTGAAATATCTTTTACAATAAAAGAAAGTATTTTTAATAACTTAGGAATAGAAGATTTTTAGACATACATTTACTCTGTTTATAATTTTCTTGATTTTTTGACGAACAACATAATGCTATACTTCTACAAAATTTGTGTGTGTATTATCAATTTTTAAATGCGTTTATAAGTTTTTAATTTAAAAGAATTTATAAGTTATTTTGCTTCATATTCGCGTCCAGTTTTCGTATATAATCGAGAAAAATAATGAAAAATCTATGGAAATTGAAAAAAAATATTTGAAGAAAAAGCAAAAACAAATACAACGTTACAATACGATCATAAAAATGAAAAGTTCAAGTCATGTTCAAAAAAGGATACTCAAAAATTTAAACCTTTTTATCTAATAATAATATATTACCATGAAAAGTAACTGATATATACAATATTAATAAAGGTGCCAGTACAAAGTGATCACACATAAAGTGTACGCAACTTTCGGCCGATTTTCGAATCGCCTCCGCCTTCCGCTGTCCCTCTCATTTCACCGCCCCGCGCGCAGATCAAATGTTGCTCGAGCATCGTGCAGCATTTAGACCGCGCGCGGTGAGGTGAGGGGGACAGCGGAAAGCGGAGGCGATTCGCAATTCGTCCGAAAGTTGCATACACTTTATGTATGTTCATTTTGTACTGGTACCTTTATTGATATTGTATATATCAGTTACTTTTCATGGTAATATATTATTATTAGATAAAAAGGTTTAAATTTTTGAGTATCCTTTTTTGAACATGGCTTGAACTTTTCATTTTTATGAGTAGACAAACCAGATGTGTATGAAATCCACAGACACGGTCATCGGAGGGGATAGCCAATCGCGTGGCTGCTCTATGCTTGTGTGCGTGACTTCTTTGATTGTGTGTGTGTGATTTAGAAAGCGAAACACGGTTTTTTCAAGGTCACGCGCCTGTGGTGGGGGCGCCGGTCGGTTGCCACGGGAACGCTGTCGTCGCGCTCGACGCTGACGGCGGAGCGAGGTTAAGACGCGCGCTGACGGGCGGAGCGAGGTTAGGGCGCGCGCTCGACGCTGACGGCGGAGCGAGGTTAGGGCTCACCCTTCGCGAGGTTCCCGCGCTTTTCGCGCGTGCGCGCGCACGCCGCCATCGTCGTTTACTTGAAATTTTGTTCCGCTCTCGGGAGACAGTGTCTCGACGCGCGAGTGCGATGCGCTCGTAATCTCAGGTC